CTGTGTGTGTGTGTGTGTGTGTGTGTACATGTATGTATAGGTATGTGTATGCATTATTGAGAACTAACTGTAATTGAACCTCTTTTATGGGCTGGATGGAAACTTCTGTCCCATTGTCTCTTTTAATGCTTACCATCATCTCATGAGGTAGGTGTTGTCAGGATGTTATTGCCATTTTATAAATGAGCATACCAAAATAAAGGTGATTAACAGCTTGTCATATCACACACAGTAAGTGATGGAGGGGCATTTTGCAAACAGGTCTTTCTTTTTAGAAAGCTCATATTTCATCTTTATTTTTGAAGGCGATGTCATGGAGGGAGAATGTGTCCTTCTACTAAGTGACATTTCAGGAAAACTTTTACAGATTAAAACAATTCTGTACCCTAAGAGTTAAGAGCATAGATTTTGTTGACAAGGTGGATGTGAGTTTAAGTAACCAGTTCATCATTTATCAGCTGAGTTTAGACAAAATTATTTAACCTCCAAACCTCAGGTTCTTTAACTTGTGAAATGAAGAGAGTAGTAGTGTGTATATCATAGAGTTGTCAAGATTACTGGCACTTAATAAATAGAAGCTGCTAGCTGCTACCATTAGTAGTAGTACAGTACAGTGTTTGCTCTTTTGGTTGTTTTTAATAGAATTCTGAGGTGGGCTATGGGCTGGCTATTTGTGAAAATCTAGTCGAATGTTTCCCCTGGTTGATGTAGTATTTGTGTTTCTCTCTTTTTTTTTTCTCACCCTCCCCTCCCCTTTAAGGATTTCAGTTTTTCTGACTGTTATATGAAAGGATGATTGCTCACAAACAGAAAAAGACAAAGAAAAAACGTGTTTTGTCATCAGGCCAGCTATCTACTGATGTTACAACTTCTGAAATGGGGCTCAAGTCTTTAAGTTCCAACTCCATTTTTGATCCGGATTACATCAAGGAGTTGGTGAATGATATCAGGAAGTTCTCCCATATGCTATTATATTTGAAAGAAGCTATTCTTTCAGGTTTGTCCACTATTTTCTCAGCATTTTTATTGGATAGTTTGTAAAATTTTGAATGCCAGCCTCGTTACAGAGAAATGTGTACACAGTGGTAGGAACAGCGTATTCTGTAGTAGTTATTTTGTGGCTTTTTATCCCCAAATTTTGATGTTTACGGTGTAAACTATTTTATAATCAGATCCAGGGCAATACATTATAGAAACTTCGGTAAGAGTGAAGGAACAAGAATACAAAAAATGAAAATCAGTCTTTGGTTCTTTGTAGTTGAGACCATTTGACATAGGAAAGTTTTAAATCATTGGAATTTTAACTTCCTTGTTACTGGTAACACAGTGCATCGATTCATCTTTAATAAGCAGAATAATGTTTATAGTTTAAACTGTTGAGACTTCAGCTGGGATTCAGTTTTCTATATTGTTCTTAAAACCTAATCTAAAATCACTGCATTTGAGTGATTTTTTTTGCTTGAAAGTCAAACTTAATTTTGTTTTGCTGTTCTTCAGTTTGCTTCTTTAGTTAAGGGATAATCACAGAATTTATTCTCTGTCTAATTAATATGGATCAATGGAGCACAAGACTTGATTCTTCTGATGTAAAGAGTACATCTGTACTCAATGACTTGCTCTTAGTACCTAAGTCTTTCAACTTTTAGTGCCTCTTTTATGTCTAAATTTGATGGTAATGATAATAAAGATACAGCTCCTATTCTTTTGTGATAAGTAGCAGTTCATTTGTATATTCATAATGGTATGTCTGGATGTAGAAAAGGAAGATACCTCATGTTACTTATATGAGACCTCCTTGGGTTTCATAGACATTTATAAGATTCCAAGAAATATTTTCTATGTATATAAGTTAAATATTAATTTTCTGATATATATTCTGAAAAACAGAGACTAAAACCATATCGTGTGCTAAATGATGCTTTTTAAGAGTTCATTCTAGCCTAACTGTAATTTTCAGTTTGAAATGCTCAAAATAACTGGACTTGAATTGCAGCTCAAAATTTTAGTATTTGAATTTACCTTAAAACGATGGTCACATAAGCCATTCTTTTGAAACTGTGTGTGTGTGTGTGTAATATTTTACATGATTTTCAATTTATGAGTAGACGAGAGATTAGGAAAGAAGAGGATTGAGAGCTGATCCTGAGTGAAAAAAGAGAAAAATGTTAATACATACAAGATAGCCAAAGGAAACTACCCTTTGAGGTAAAAGTATGTATATGGAAATATATTTTTCATGGAAATTTAATATTAAAAATCTGTAAGGATATTATTCTTTTAATAAGAAAATCCGTACTTCATAATTTAAATAGTCTATTGTATTGCTATTAAAAAGCTTGCCATTTATGGCTGATAAATTTTAAAAAATGTAAAAACCATCTTTTAGATAACCAACCCTCATTAGTAAGCAGTGGCCAGTGAATTTTCATTATTTACTTTTGGACTGATTTTAATTCTTAGTCCTTCAATCAGAATTAAAAAGATATATATATATATGCCAGCTGAGAATAAATCTTGGAGTTGACAAGAATTTGTTTACTCTGTCTTTGGACCATTGTTATAAAAATGCAGAAATATACTATTTAGTTTATTTGAGTTGATAGAACCTTTTTTGTTTGTTCTTAAACAAGGGAGTATGTATAAACATATATAAATTAACCTCATAATAAATGATAAGAAATGCTACATAGTAGTAATATGCTTGTATTTAATATTGATCATGATTTTCAGCTTGCTAAAGTATCAGACTATTCCTTATTTACTTAATAGAATTATTACAAGAATCACATGAGATACAGTCTTCAGGAAAACAGGTAAAAAGTTTGAAATTCTGTAACTGTTTAAGGTGGTATTACTATATGTTTCTATAGACCAGACACAGGCCATGCTTTTGTCTTCTGGGTATTGAGAAATATCCCTGACCTCTGAAGTTTAGTACCACCACTGTTGTAAGGTTCTTTAGTGCCACGTTGTAAACTGTGGCCAGACAGCAAAGAGCTGTTTCATTGTTTTTCTTTTACAGTGAGGGAGCCTTGTCAGTATTTTGTCAGTGGCCTTGCCAATATTTTGTCTTTCGCCTCCTTACAAGGAAGGATGCCAAATTTTTGGCATTGTTTATGGCCTTTTAATTCATGTCAGTTGTCTGTTAAAAAGCTAAAAAGTTAGCTTTTAAGAATATAGAATGTTGGTATACAAGTCAGTCACCTTTTGGTGTAATTCGAATACTATTTTCTTTATATGCTTTACCTATCATGAGGCAATGACATGCAAAATCACTTGACTGTTGCTTCAGGTGTTCAGTCATATTGTTGAGCCTAGGCTTTGTATTTCACGGACTACTTTTACATACAAACAGTACTGAATCACACAGTCCCCACAAAGGCAGGTACACGTAGTTCCATTCACAGATTAATTGTATGTATAATTTAGACTCTGATTTCATCAACCGATTGCTGATAAATAGTGGTTTCACTTGGTACCCAGAGGTCATGAATGCAGAATGGTGTGTTCTTTCCATGCTATCTCACTTGCTTCACATGGCAGGTACTCTAAAAATACTGTTCCGTTTTCGTGATTTCATTAGCTGGTTCTGTTTTCACTGGGGATTATCTAGATCTGTGCTATCTAACATGTTAGCCTTTAGACATGTGGCAGTTTACATTTAATTAAAATAAAAAATTCAGCTTCTCAGCTGCACATTTCAAGTGCTTATTAGCCACATGTGGCTAGTAGCTACATGAAGGTATAAAAATTTCCATCATTGCAGACATTTCTATTGGACAGTCTTGGTATAAACATTTGGCTTTTGTCAGTCTTGAGAAATTGAGAATTTTTGAACTATAAATATTTTTTATTTCTATAGCATTTAAAGGAAACCTAGAAAAAGTTGTTATGGGAGCAAATTTAGGAAAAATTTACCTAGGAATAAGAACTCTTGAGGTCTATTTGAACTCTCCTTCCTTAAGTTGCCTTTTGAGTGTGTAACTTTCATCCCCTTCAATTGATTGGAGCTAGCAGATCAGTTTCCAGCCAGGTTATATTGTACAGTTTGGTTAAATTGGAAGTAAGGGGGACAGAAAGAGCTCAGGAAAGACATTCACATGATTTAGGTTCTAAGCCTAGATCTGCTACAGACTAGGTTTGGACTATGGTTTAAGCTTCTGATGAATTCCAGGTTCTAACTTGGACAGAACTATAGTTAGAAGAGGAATGTTAACTTCCTAAAGCAAATTTTATTGAACAGAAGGAGTTAAATAAAAAGTTTAATGCCATTAAGTAATATGTTCTGTTGTGAGAGGGAAGTTCTGCAAAAATGTTCAAAGTCTTAATTGAAACCCTGTTTTGTGGATTAATCCATTTTTTTTCCAGGTGAATATACAGGAGGGTGTATAAATTAATTTCAGGCAGATTTCAATGGGTGTTAATTTGACTATTGATGACTATAACTTTCAGCCTTTCTAGTGTGCGAGAACTTTGTGATATATTAGAAACTTAAGTTGCTAGTCTCAGATATGCCCTCCTGCTGTGTTCTTTTAGAAGTAAACCTCTCTAGAAGTGATTTCTAATGGATATCACTTAGGAGAGGTTAATGTGAATGTTAGTTGGTGCCTAAAAGGTATGAAATGAATCTGAGGAATGAAGTATGAAATACAGGTAGCTCATTTATTACACATGTGCCAGCTCTTAGGATATTGCTTTCCTCTTCTGTACTTGCCTAGAATGGTTTACATGATTTAACAGCACTTAAAATAGTTAACTGGCGTATTCGATTGGAAGTAAAAACCTATTAAGTCACAAATTGTAGAGTACTGTCATTAAACTATAACTTCTTCAACCATGTTGATGTGTCATAATGATTGAATGCTGGAGCCAGAACACCTAACATTGAATCCCCTTTGGTCACTGGGCAACTTATCTTTGTTGCCTCAGTTTCTACATCTGTTAAAAGGAGTTAATCGTACCTACATCATTGGGTTGTTGTGAAGATTAAATGAGTTCATAAATGTAAAGCTCGTGGAATAGTGTTTTAAAATGTCAGCTATTATTTTTACATTCCCCAAGTGGTTGGATAAAGAAAGCTGCTGTTCAGGCTTTACTTTTATCCTGTAAATTCAGAAGTTGTTAAAGCAGGAAAAAAAAAAAAAAAAGGGAGTTTCCTAGTGATAAGTTCTGAAACTTTTTTCCCTCCTTTTTGTTTTCATTGCTTTCCCAGAGAGGTTAAGCTGAATTAACAAGACTGTTTTAAAAATTGTCAGTTTTTTTTTCTTTTTTTTAAATCAAGGAAAACACCATAGTTTTTTTCATTTATTTACTTAAGCATTTCCATGAAGTGTTTGCAGTATAAACACTGTGGTATTGTGTTAATGCATGAGAACCAAAAAGTGGAGCTGGCTAATCTGTTTTCACTTGATAAGCTGAATGAAGCAGAAAATAAATGGTACAAATAAGTGAAACAATAAATTAAAATTCAGATTACCATATTACTGGGATAGATAGTAGATAAACAAACAAACATTGGGATGCAGGAGTTTTACTGTTCTAGATAACTACTGTTAAGATTTTAGTTGAATATTATTTGTATATATAATACCTTTATGTAGTATAAATTAAATTTTATTACACTTACAATGTGGCTGCTATAAAATTTAAAAATTATCTTATATTTAGCTATATTGCTGAATTAAATACTGTAATTTAATTTCATAGGTATAAAAATATTTTTATAAAATATCTTTAATTATAGTTTTATTTCCAAGTAATTTGCTAATTTAGATTTTTATATACAAAATGAAATTGAAACTTAATTTTAATGTCTCTTTTTCATTAGCCAAATTACTGTGGGACCTTGCTATATTTGTAATTGAATATAATTGTATGTGAGACAACTCTGTTTTCAAAGGTATATAGTTTGAATGGCTTACAGATTTAATAGTAACAATAACTGCTTATACACATTAAGACTATAAAGCAGTTTGATTTCTGTTCATTTGTTTGATA